GGCGAGCATCGACGAGGACTTTGAGGCCCGATTTTTGCGCTTTCACGTGTACGTGTGTCTACGTCGAGTTTATGCATGCATGGTTACCATCTCTCCGAGACACACATGCATGGCCTCTCTCGTATCATGTATTTAATGCTAAACCGTTCGGATGGCTTCATTTCGAGCTCGATGGCTTTCGATTGATCGCCTCTATTCCCTCTGGATGACCATTATTGGACACACGGTGGTGCACCACCGTGTCGAGTATGCATTTTCTTTTCTTATTTTCTCTTTCGTTCATTGTTTTTTGTGTGTCTTCGTGAGTGTTTTTGTTTCGTTTCTTTGATTTTTGTGTCTCGTTTTCGTTTTTATCGCATGAACTTACATGATTATGTGCTTTCTCCTATGCTTTTTTGTCAAACAATGAGGACATTGCTTTGTTTTAAGTGTGGGGGAGAGATTTTCGTGTTATGCATGTTTAGGTGATATTCTCTTTGTTTTTGGTGCTTTATTTTTCGTTTTTGTCGTGTCTTGGACCGGTTTTGTTTGAGTCTTTTGTGTGTTTGTGTCATCTCTCCCGTATGATGCTCAATGTTTGTTCGAGAGTTGGAATAGCTAAGTGGTGAGTCGAGAGTGTTTATTGGCTTCCTTGTTAGCTTTCGTGCATTATGAACTTGATGAATTGGACGGTATCATTGAATTGAATGATTATTTGTTAACGTGGGACCCCCATGTGAATTAACGAAATTGTTTTGTCCCTTCTTATTCTCGATTGATGAACTTGAGATATGCTTACTTCTTGCTCGTTTGTTGTTGAAAAACGTGTTGTGCTATTCGTTTGTGGTGCATCTAGAACGAAATGTGCTTATGTGTATATTGTGGATGTATCGATTTGTGCCACTCCCTAATAAAAAGAAAAAAAAAAAATTGAGAATGATGTGAGCTCGCGAGGAAGTACGGACTAGGCTCCTCTTATCCCGAGCCACCTCGTGGAATGGGATAATGGGCCCGGAAAACCGGTCTAGGGAACTCGAGGAAACCCCTCGAGGTTAGCCTAGATAGTCATTGTCCGAAAACCTCGTTTGGAAAAAGAAACTCACATAAATGAGCTCGTGAGAGTAGGAAGGAGTAGACTCCACTTGGTTCGGTTGGTCTTCTAGGAAAATCGAACCAATGAGTACGGGAAACCGGCTTAGGAGATTCGGGGACAAACCCCGAGGATAAACCTAAGTAATAATCATCCCAACGACTCTCATTCATAAAAAATAACTCATTTTAAAAAAAATATTATATAATAAGAAATGGAGTTGGCTTATGGTCTCGTTTGTATTCATTTATGCCGTTTAGACCTCATTTAGCTTTTTGCACGTTTATGTATTGGAAGGAGGCATTAATCGAGTAAATCATGTGTACGATGACTCGGGACGGGTTTTTGTTTTGTATGAATTCGTTTTGTGGGGAACATGTTTTTGAATTTGAGTTTGGTTCTATGATTACCAGAGGATAATGAGAGTTTCATAATCGCATGATTGTTAACCTTGGACCATTTGAGATTTTTCTTCGAGCTATTTGTTATTTTGTTTGCTTGAGGACAAACAAAAAGCTAAGTGCGAGAGAGTTGTTTGTTATGTTTTTGTGCTTATTTTTATGTGTTTATGTGTGTTATCGAGTCGATTTTAGGTTCGTTTTGGTGTTGACCGGTCCATTTTGTCGATTTCCGTGTGTTTTTGTGTTTTTCGTTTCATTTTGTATTTTGGCGTACTTTTCTGTGCTTTTGGTATATTTTCAGATTTATTCCGAGGGTGAATGAGATGAGTCGAACCGAGTTTTCTAAATTCCGAG